AGAAGAGCATACCTCCAAATTCTAGGGTTTTGAAGAACCAGTGAAATTAAATCAACAGGGAGGAGGGAGCTATATGTATCAAAGAGGTTGTGATACATCAAATCCCTTTGATACATGAAAGCGGTTCTCTGATCGAGGTGATACATCCACAATACCATTGTTATGCTAAACGAGGTTTGTGAAGAAGAAAGACCTCTGCTTACTAACCCAAAATGTTGCTGGTCATAGAGAAATGAGAAGAGAAGAAAAAACTTTGGTCTTGGTGGTCGCAGAGGTAGGAGACAGAAGAGGAAGAAACCGGAAGAAGAAACCGGCCCAAAATAGGTAATTTTTGGTCTTTGGAAAAGCATTGCATAAACAACTTGTACATTATGCATAATAGTTTGTAATTAAGAGATTTTTGAATTTGTTGTATAAAATGATTGTACTCTAAGCTTTAAGAATTGTACTTAAGATATAGGTCTAAATGCTTATTAATGTAGTATAGATATTCTATGCAACTGAAGCACTTTGAATATGAGACTTTTTGATGTTCATCTCACCAGGTCTTTCATTTAATCATTAATATTTTAAAGAAGCATATCTACGAATGTTATGACATAACAACAGATATTTTGTGAAATTTCTGAAGGTGTAGAAAAATAAAGTAATAAATGCTTCACAATAAGCTCAAATTGCTAAAGTTGTGTGGACTATACAAATTTATCATACTCTATGTAATCAAATTTTTGAAGGGGGACATATATCCTTCTTGCTTCAATATCAGTAATCTCCGAAAGAGAAACCGATAAATTATGAGCTACGTGCCATAAGGGTTATTGAAACAATTATCTTTTAGAGATAATTGAGTAGTTGGTGGGGTATTAAACAAGAGTTGGAATGGGCTTTGCCTTTTTCAATATTAAACAGGTCCAACCAAATCTATATGAAATAACTGAAGCGGAGAAGTCACAGAAGAGACTTGTTTTGATTTAAAACTAGCCTTTGTCTGCTTCCCTTTTTGCATGTTGAGTAAAGAGATTCCTTTGCAAAAGAGTGCTAAGGAAAGCTAGTGACAAGTTCTTTTCTAGACAACTCATTCAGTGTCTTGAAGTTAAGATGAAAGATTCATTTTTCCACAACCAATTGATGTCTGATGAGGCTTTAGAAAGAAAACAGTTATTCTCAGTAAGGGAAGAATCCATATCGATGACATACACAATTTCTAGGCGAGAGAAAGTCAATGCTAGATTGTCATCTTTGTCGAAGACTGAACATGTATTCTTAGATAAATTAACTGTGAAATCTTTATCACACAGTTGACTGATGTTGAAAAGATTGTGCTTTAGTCCTTCAACGTAGGCAACTCGTCTGAACGTGGTTACTCCATTAGTTAATATACCAATGCCTTTGGTAAATCCTTTCCATCACCTCCAAAGGTCACAGACGGACCTCTTTCATCCTTGCATTCAGAGGGTAAGGTTTTGTCGTTGGTCATATGTCTTGAGCATCCACTATCGAAATACGAAATGCCTTTGACTTCCTGCAATAGAAGGGATATTAAAAAAAATTGGTACCCATTTTTCAATGGGTCCTGCAGAGTTAGAGGTGGAGATTGCATCATCTTTCTTCACTGAACCTGAACACTTAGTTCCAGTGGTGATCTTCACTAAGCTCGATGCATGGCGTTATTGGTACTCTTCACATTAGTTGTTTTAACAACTTTTATGGTTAATTTCACTTTGACTGGTTTTTCAGTGTTAGTTACTTTCTTTACCTTGGTTGGTTTACTAGCTTTGGTAATAGAGGGACACTTACTGGCAATATAAGTAGTCTCACTTTATTGACAATAGTTCTTATAGCTAAAAGAAGCTTTAAAGTATGGAAAAGTTGTAGTATTTGTGAAAAAATGCAATGGTAAGAGTTGTCGGATATGCAACAAAAGTTTATTTTTCAAATTGCCTTTGCAAGGAATTATCAAAAGGTAAACATGACTGCTTTAGACATGACTGCTTTAGACATAACTCTAAGGGAAGTGAAAAAAAAGGGTTCGATATGTTATAAGTGAACTTGATGGGTTGATTTACATATATAAGGAGAAGAAGAGATTTTCAGAACTTGATGGGTTGCCCAAGAACTTTGACACTGTTCAGAGATGGTTTGAGTAGAAGGAAAGAAAAGGATCCAACCACTTGCAAAAGAATTAAAGATTTGATCAATGCTCAGATCAATCTTAGAGAGCTCATTTTGATCATGTTTTGTCCTATTTTACAAGAGTTGCTCTGAACACAAAGGGGTAGATTGAAAGATCTACTTCGGTTTTGGTCCAAATAACTCTTAAATATAAACTCTAAAGTGGAAGACCGGACTTATTATCCAAAGCTCTAAAGCTGAAGACTCAAATATCAAGAAGTGACACTCAAAGTTATAGAGGAATGTCTAAAGTGTCTAGCATTTAGATCACGTGTCTTGTACTTATTAGTCTGTATTTGACAGCATATGTCTTTAAAGTTTCCTTTGTACTATAAATAGGAGTATAGATAGTCTGTTAAGGTAATAGAGCTTATCATTGTAAGCAGTATCTTCAGTTGCAATATTTCTCTTTGTACATCTTTCTATAATCATTTTGAACATCAATGGCATGATGACTTCTGGACCAATATCTCTATGTTCATATCTTGATTGTTATTTACATTTGTTGATTACTTGACTGCTTTAGATCTATTGGGAACTTAACAAAGTGTACCTTAGATATTCCCACTCAATCCCATCATTTAGAATCTTCTAATACCTGATCAAACAATTTTCATGAAAACTGACGATAAATAAGCTCAACCATAACTTTCCCCAAAAGTCACTACGAGACGATTTATCATCCTCCCCTTGACAAAGATTTCTAATAACTAGCTTGGTCTGGTTCAACACATAATTTGGATTTGTAACCCAAGCGAGCACCTTACACGCCAACGACATAAATTTCCAAGGCTCATTAATCAGACCGTCTTGGCAATTAGCTGACATTTCCATCTAGGATCATGTGAAACTCACTTCACATGGAATTATCAACTCGGAGTCATTGATTGGGCAACTTATGCATCACACTCCAACAATGATTATCTCAACACTAACATCAATATCAATCGAGATGATCTCAATCATTAATCCTCAATAATAACAAAAATCTATTCACCTTAGAGTTACGAGTTTTTTGTTGACCAAAACATTGATGACAACAAAGGAACATGCTTACAAGAAAGTTTTCGAATGAATCATCTTAGTCCTGTTATGCACTTGTGCCTTTTAAATTAATCAACTCTCCCCGGTCCCCCGTTCTCTTCTCTAGATTTATATAACTATTTAAATAAGATATATAATATATAACATAAAAAGCACCATCATATAATAAGAAAAGGTCAACTATACTTTTTTATCATTGCGTTTATCTCTCTTAGTTTCGCATTTAAAAAATTACTAGCAATTAAAAATTCGTTTTCATTAATACTATTTAAATAAACGCTGTTGCCATCAAAAGGTGGTCACACTCAATATTTTTTTTCCTCATCTTTTATGAATGAATTCAGTGATATAAAAAAAAATAAGAAATTAAACCATAAAGTAATATCCATAATGTTTAAAACATAAAAATATCCAATAAAATGAATAGTGGATATTTTTAACTTATGATACAAATTGCAAATTGATCAAAAAAATGTTAATTAACATAAAAGTGGAAATTCTTAACTTATATCATTAATCTTTTTACCCTAATTTATACGTCTAATGTTAATTTGGCAAAGGGCTTTTGGCCTCGTGGTATGTAAATTATTGGTCTCTTATGAGGTAAAGGGTTCAAACTTTATCAAAAATAAGGAAGGTGTATGAGTTTATTTGTTTTATTTATCGAATATAAATATTATACACTTAAAAAAAATTATATTACCGATAAAACCATGGAAGCTTTTTTGGGTGTTCTAATAAAGCATTTATTAGGACTTTAAGTTATATTATTAAGGATCATATGTTTTTAACTAAATATGTTAGAAAGGTGTGTGTTAGTCTAAGAGATTATATCAGGGATATTGAACTACCTAACCTAACATAAAAAATAGTCATATTAAATTCATTTTATAAAAGTGTCTAATGAACCTTTTATGTATATGTCACTTTTTCAAAAGTATGTTAACAAAGACTAATATTTGGGTTTAATTTTGTATACTATTTGTACTTTAAGGGTGAAACCCCATAAGCTTCTTTGGATGTTCTAATAGAGCATTTATTAGGAATTTAAGTTTATCATATCAAGGATCATGTGTTTTTATCTAAGTTTGTTTATAATTAGTTATTAGAGTGATGTTAGACGATCGAACAGGTTAATTAGCAAATTGAACAACCTAACAGAAGATAAAAAATAGTTATATTAAATTTATATTTTACGCTTTATAAAAGTGTCCTATGAACCTTTCATATATATGACACTTTTTCAAAAGTGTGTTAATATTAGGATTCAGTTTTAGCGTACTATTGAGTTGCTTAACTTCGTAGATATAACTTTTAGGTCATCTAACTTTGTCATAACAACGTAATATAAATTATTAAATAAGATGTCGATTGTTTGTCCCATAAATTTAAAATCACATTAAATACTTTACTATGACGCATATACATCCTAAAATACCAATATTATAGTGAGGTAAGCTTATGGTGATGGTTACCACACAACTAGCTCTTGCCAAATTAATGACATTGTCTCATGTCATTTCAAAAGTTGGTATCAAAGACAATGATGCAACGAGAACAAGCCAAAGTTCAATTGGTTTTATAATGTCCTCGAACAGAACAAATATGCTTTTTCTCCAAATTAGTTTTTGGTTGGTGCTTACTTAATTTAAGGAAGTCTTAAAACCATCCCTTTCTCTTGACTTTGACAATTTCTCGTTGACTTTCAACTTGATGATAAACAATTTGACAATTTTTATACAATCAATTGGAGTATATATTGATTCATTGCTTTCCAAAGATGATTGTGTAGTATTGCGTTGGTTAATTTGGCTTCGCTTCACTCATCAAAATGTCTAAGGTAATGTTTGGAAAATTGCAATTTAGTTCTACTTCTATTTTGTTAGTTGATTTGTTTTTATTTTTATTTTTATTTTTATGTAAAGTATATAATATTTAAATACGAAAATATTTATGTATATTCCTCATATTAGGATTTTTTGTAAGGATGGATTCAATTAGTTAGGCCAATGAACCTTTGGTTATTGTTCATATCTTGACTGTCACTTATAATGCATATATCAATTATTTTTCTTTTCTTGTTTTTACTGGGTCATAATAATCATAAGATGATTTCATGTATCAGAAAATAGAGGTAAAAGTGAACATGCATGATCAAAAGTGTAAGACGAAAGTTCTAAAAGCTGTGACGAAGCTAACAGGCATCAATGAAGTATCCGTGGATCTAGCAAAACAGATGGTTGTTGTAATTGGAGATGTTGACCCAGTGTGTGTTGTATGTCGGATTAGAAAAATTGATAAAACAGCAAAAATTGTAAGTGTTGGACCACCCAAAAAATCCGATGGACCTAAAACTGGTACTGATTCTTGTACAATAATGTACCCTTATTCTGTATGTACAGATGTTGGTTCTACCATGGTCTATGGATATTCTCAACCATATGGAGGTAGAGGTTGCTTCTTTTTCTAAAATGAAATATGAAGTCCCTTTGATTGATTACTTTTCCATGGAGAACATAAAAAAAGTTGTTTGCATCCCTGGACTTATTAGTATTGTGTAATTTGTAATTATTTAAATGATATCAAATAAAAGTTGTTTTTCTTGTTTGTTTTTATTTGTTATTTGGGATCTCTTGCATTGGTATTCATATGTATATTTACTTACCTATCAATGAATTATTCATGATGATATCATGAGTAATAAAAGTCATGATATTCATTATTAATAATATTCATCAATATTTTAAGTTTAATAATTATGAATAAATTATAAATCAATTGATTTTCAGTCTTTCATAATATTTAGAGTTTTGTTTGATGACTCTCCTATACATAGATAGATATGCACATGTATGTAATGATACACGCTTACATAAGAGACTCATAAAGGTTGAGAACCAACATGTATTATTTTAACTCGTGAAACATACGATGTTTTTTATATTTGAAATAAAAGAACTACACGCGAAAAAAGATTAATATTGTCAAACAAATACACAGCGATTGCGGAACAAACATATTTTATATAATACTTTAAATCTTAGCATTAGTGAGTTTTTAAACAATGCAATGAAATTGTTTCTCACAGTTTTGTTTGTAGTTCTTCGATAATTAGTCCTCTTTATATCTCATTATAATTAGTACTCTCTTGAATAGCTCCCTATAAATATCTCATAGGGGTGGGTATCATTGAGAATACGTGTAACATCCTCATATCCATACATTACATATAACATATATTTCATATACTGAATACATGTTTTCTCCCACATAGGCCCATAATGCAAGAGTCTATAATGTACAATACATGGTTCAAAAATTCCAATAGTACATGCTTCTTGTAACTTGACATCTAATCTTCAAACATGGCTGATCAAGATCTTCATATTGCAAAACACCTAGAGAAGTAATTCACAAAATGCTCTTGCCCTTATTATTATTATTATTACCTGCACACATATTTTTGAAAACACAAAATGAGGGTTAGACATGAATGTCTAATGAGGTTCCCTTTTTATGTAATGCAGGGTGAAGATTACTAAAACATTTATTTCAAATAATTCATCTCATGTAGCAAAGACTAAAAATAACATTCTGACATGGTCCATCGGGCTTCTGGTTCCAAACCATACTTAGAATATATTTTAATAAAACAATACCAGAGCCTCTCTAGTCCTTGTACCAGAGCTTTTATTTCCTCGTCCAGAGCCTCTGATTGTACTATCCAGAGCCTCTGGCTCATATACCTTCTTAAGTTAAGCTTCCCATAAATAAGATAGTCTTTTTCATAAGAAGAATAGTTATGCAGAGTTCTTATTCGACTAAAGCCTCTAGTTGTACTAACCAGAGCTTCTAGTTCAAAAGTTATGACCAACCAGAGCCTCTGGTTCAACGTGTGAGTCGACCAGAGCCCCTCTTGTCCGTCTTTTGTATAAAATACTAAGTATAAAATTCCTTTTTCTTAAAACTTCTTAAACTATAATTTTGACACAAAAGTTCTTATCATTAGTTACAGAGCCATAGTCCAACTAGTACGTTTTAGTAAAACTTTGCATATTCATCAAATCAATAACAAGAACCCTCTGGTCCAATAGTGAGTACCAACCAGAGCTTCTCTGCTTCCTCATAAAATGTACATTCTGTTCCAAAAATACGTTTTACCAAAACCAATGACCATAGGCCATATTTTTCCCATAACCATAACATCAAAACTACCATTTCCAATAAGAACAACATCTCTGAATCCTCAAATCACCAAGAAGAGAGAACTCCAATCTGTTGTAATCTTACTAGATATAATAGTAAGAGTTATATCATGCATATACACACAACGACCATCCTTATTACATCCATAAATCCCCTGTTTATAGCAATAGCTATCTATCACACACAACGACCATCCTTATTTCCCCTGAAATTCATATAAACTATTCCATCCAATGACAGGCTGGAGACTTTTCTATCAGAGTGAACCTCATTCTTAGTTTTTATCCAAGTCATATTCTCAACACAAGCTTATAATCAAACCTTTCCAATGATAAGAACACTCTGTTCTAGATCAAATTGCTCAACTCAACTTGTTCTTCCCAAACAGGGCATTGTTTTAAAATTGATTCTAAAGAACAATTTATGTTTAATCTTTTCAAAACAGGTTCTAATCTTTGAACCATAAAACATTTCTTTCAAAACTTTTTAAAAGTAGTTTTCACCAGATTCTTTCTAAATCTCAATCATCCGTAATTACTAGATTACAAGATTGAATAACAGCTTATAAACTTACAGTTATAATCAAAAGGTTAATAAAACTCACTTTGATAACACAGATTCTGCAGATTATCACACAACAATTTAACAGAATCCTTGACAACAATTTCTTCAAGAAAAGCTCTTCACCGCCTTTAAATTCCTATTGTATATTTTGTAAAATAGTGAACTGATAAAGGTTTTTACCTTATCCTCTTTCTTTTATACTTAGGATGAGGCGGTGATGGATATCTTTCAATATAAAATCATTTAGGCGGTGGAAAGATAATGTTTTATAATCAACCTTTCTTAACTATGAAGGTTTGGATTATAATAATATTCCCACATATTATATTATCATATAACCGCTTATAAAATTGTCACATGTATGCATAATATCAAATTACCACACATGTGCACATAATTCATGCATTTATATTTTAAGATAACATGCATGCTATCATATAATTCAAATAATAAACACATAGAGTTACCTTGACTAGGTTTGCAGAGAACCAAGTTATAACATTCTATCCCCCTTAAAAGAATTTCGTCCCGGAATTCACTCAAATAACCAAGGGTATTGGTTTCTCATGTCATATTCTAGTTCCTATGTTGCTTCGGAACCCTTGTGAAAATGCCACTGTACTTTTACCAAACTAATCTCTTTATCTCTTAAGACCTTGGTCTTTCTGTCAATTACTGCCTCTGGTGTCTAGATGAAATTCAACTTATCATCAAGTTTGATCTCAGGAAGTGGTATTGCTAGATTCAGGTCTGCCAAACACTTACGCAGATTTGATACATGAAAGGTACTGTAGATCTGACTGAGTTCTTCTGGTAGTTCCAACTGATAAGCTACCAGCTCAATTCTTTTGTAGATTCTGAATGGTCCAATATACCTTGGACTGAGCTTTCCTTTCTTCCCAAATCTTATAACACCCTTCCATGGAGATACCTTCAACATTAAAAAGTTTCCTACATTGAAGTCAATCGGTTTCCTTCGTTTTTCGGCATAACTTCTCTGACGATCTTGGGCAGTCTTAATTCTTGTACAAATCTGTTCAATCTTTTCAGATGTTGTTTGCACAATTTTTGGACATGTTAACTGCTTTTCACCTACCTCATTCTAACATAACGGCGTTCAACATTTTCTTCCATACAAGACTTCATAAGATGCCGCTTGAATGCTGGAATGATAATTGTTATTGTAGGCAAATTCTATCAATGGTAAATGTTCATCCCATGATCCTCCAAAGTTAATGACACAAGATCTCAACATGTCCTCGAGAGTCTGGATGGTTCTTTCACATTGTCCATCCATTTGTGGGTGATAAGATGTACTCAATTTAATTTGAGATTCCAAAGCTCTTTGTAGACTTTCCCAGAACTTGGAAGTAAAACGACTGTCACGGTCAGAAATAATGGACAATGGAACACCATGTCTAGTCACGATTTCCTTGATGTATAATTAAGCCAATATTTCTAGTGAATAAGTTTCTTTCATTGGTATTAAATGCACAGACTTTGATAAACGATCTATTATTACCCAAATTGCATCATATTCTTTTGGCGTTTGGGGTAATTTCATAATGAAGTCCATTGTAATGTGATCCCATTTACAGACTGGTATTTCTAATGATTGCAGAGTTCCATAAGGTCTTTGGTGCTCAATCTTAACTTGTAAACAAGTTAGACATTGTTCCACATATGCCGCTATATCTTTCTTGAGACCTGGCCACCAATAGAATACTTTCAAGTCTTTGTACATTTTGTTGGTACCTGGGTGAATTGAATAGCGGGACTTGTGACTTTCATTCAGGATGRTTTCTCRTGTATTACCATAGCTTGGTACCCATATTCGGCCTTGGAAACATAATATCCCTTCATTGTTTGGCTCCATAATGGAAATCATCTTTCCCACCCTTTCGGATTTCTGGTTCTCTTTTTTAACAGCTTATTTCCGGTTTTTCAAAATTGCTTGGTGAAGGTCTGGAGTTAAGGAGTTTTCATTGCTCTAATGGTGCCACTTCTTTCCTTTCGGCTTAGAGCATCGGCCACTACGTTTTCCTTTCCTGGGTGGTAGAGAATCTCACAATCATAGTCGTTAATGAGTTCAATCCATCGCCTCTGCCTCATATTCAAATCCTTCTGGTTGAACAAGTGTTGTAAGCTTTTGTGATCTGTAAAGATTTGGCATTTGGTTACTAAAAGATAGTGCCTCCATATCTTTAGTGCGAAGACTACGACTGCTAATTCCATGTCATGGGTGGGGTATTGTTTTTCATGATTCTTTAGTTGGCGAGATGCATAAGATATGACTTTCCCCCTCTGCATCAATACACAACCCAATCCCAACTTCGATGCATCGTTGTATACTATGAAGTCTTCTGTTCCATCGGGCAGAGATAAAATTAGAGCGTTGTAGAAATGATTTTTTAATAATTGAAACGCTTTCTGTTGCTCTGTTTCCCATTGAAACTTGACATTCTTCCGGGTTAACTTGGTTAAAGGCACAACTATCTTTGAAAAGTTATGTAAGAACTTACGGTAATATCCTCCCAATCCCAAAAAGCTTCGGATTTTATATCGGGATTTTGGTGCTTCCCATTTTGCAATCGCTTCAATTTTTGCTGGATCTACCTGTATCCCTTTTTCTGATATTACGTGTCCCAAAAAATAAACTTCTCGCAACCAGAACTCACATTTTGACAGCTTAGCATATAATCTTTCTTTCTTTAAGAGACTCAGGACCAGACGGAGGTGCTATGCATGTTCTTCCTCTGTCTTTGAATAAATCAGAATATCGTCGATGAACACAATCACAAATTTATCAAGATATTCTCGACATA